TACGTTGCAAAATGCTCGACACAATCACAACTACTCTATTTATGTAGAATTGTCTTTCCACTTAATTCGTTTTTTTTTTTCTATTCTGGTCACCTTAAGCAATTATAACTGGCATACAAAAGCTCTTCACTACCCAAATTAGCTTTCAGCAACCCTGCAGAGCAATCACCAACTATTGAAACCATTGCTAGTGCAGAGCTAGTACGAATTCAATAATTTCCAATTACACTCGATTAACAAATAATAAATTAATCAAAATTAAAATTTAATATTGAGACGGTGGCAACTCATATTTTATTTTGCTTCCGTACAGATACCGATAAATGGGTCTGCATAATGGTTCGCAGGATCTATTCTACCGAGATAATTCGAAAGTGTTTTGTTATTCTAAATAGCACAAAGGTTGAGAAAAAGGCTTTCTCATTCGCTACTCGTGATGAAAAACCATTTTATGAGAAAACAATTGTATACAACGTTGCCGAATTGGCGATTTCATCGTCATTTTTATGTGTTTTTTTTTTAGCTCAGTGACGTTTTGACGATTTGTCGCTCGAAATGACGATGTTTTATTTTAGTTTTTCGTTATCTCATTACCTTAAATCCCAACGGGCCTAACTATTGTTTTTGATACCAACACTTTCAAATTTTTAGAGAAGGTGTACTTTAATATATCCTACCCAAATTGGTAAAAAGCGCAGTTTCGAAAAACTTGCTGGTTATGGCCCTTGAGTATTAAAGTAACGATATGTATGTATGCAAAAAATTTGATAAAGAAAAACATTATGCTAAATAAAACCATGCATTTATCTAGTTTTGTTTTACAACGGTGCTCTTAGTTACATATATTAAATTTGTTCTAGAAAGGCTTTTGTCTTTCGAAAGACTGTGGTGAGTTGAAATACAGTCGTCATAATTGCTTGTAAATGTGCTTAAGTCGCTTTCTATATATATCTCATATAGACGTGTGCAGAGTAAAAGCTCTCTCTGCCCGTCGCTGATATACTTAAATACGTACACCATTAAAAGCTTTAGCATTATTTGCTAAAACAGCGATGTGCGGAGAGAGCTTTTACTCTGCACGCGCCTAAACAAAATTTATAGAAAGCTTAAAAGAGCTTTGCCCGCGGGCAGGACGGTGCACATCAACGTACTAAAAGCTTCAAGAAAAAGCATTGCGGAACAATGTGCATATGGCAGCTAACAACAGCTTTCAGGCGTACACTGAAATTTTAAGAACATTATTGCAAGCTTTATTGCGCTTCAGAAAGCTTCAAAGCACCTTTCACGCACTTGAATAAGAAAACTCATTCATTTTTTTGTTTATTTATTTCATCAATAAATATTGTATTTATTCAGCATTAATACTTTTGTGTGTAATTTTACATACGTATGTACATACATACATATGTAACTTGTATGTATGCATATTTGTCAAAATTATTTACATCTTTTACGTATTACACACTTAATTAGCATACACACATACATATGTACATATATGTATGCTCATATGCATGTACATATTTCAGAAAACTAAAACTAAATAAAATTTCTACACGGTTAAAAGCAACTCATTGTGAGTAAAATATAGGTATGTATACGGCGACAATTGCAAATATCTAAAACCTAATTTGTTTAATTAAAAACACGCTATTCGCTACATTTTACATATCGGTAATATTTTGCATACTAAATGGTAGTTATTGATTTTATTTGTTTCTTTTTAATTGTGTATTACAGATATTTTTTTTTAAGCGTGCTTATGAATAATAACTTAAATTTAAGTAAAATAAAATTGACTAGAACATTTCCGTGTATGTATTAGCTTTTAAATTAAAATCACAAGGCCGCAAATTTTTGTGGATAAGTACTTTAAACAATTGTAAACTGAGCTACTAAATCCAAAAAAGCGATGAAATATACAACATTTTTGTAGCCGAATTTTATTATTACAGTTTGGTAATTTTTTTAGTATACATAACTTTGTTTTGTAATAATGACGGAAATTTTAACAAAATTAAATTCATGCTATTTTTCAAACACATTCAATAAATTCAAAATGGTTTCTTATTTTAGTAGTTAATTTTTTGATTTTCATAACTCATTACCGCTAACTTTATGTATGTATTATGTATATAGGTTAATTTTAATTCTAGTTTTTATAATTTGTATCTTACTTGCATAATTTCATTAATTTTAATCTATTTTTTAAGTATTTAATTTGCTGATATACTTTTTTTTTTAATTCTACACGTAAGAACGTATTTATTAACTAATAGCTAATTTTCATAGAGGGCAAATAGGTACGAAGTTAGTGAATGCAGGCTTCAACAGATTTGTTTAGGTTTTCTTAAGTTTTCAGGAAATGTAGCAAAAAATTTTATGGTAACCTGTGTAAGTGGAGGTAAATTTTATTTCCGCTAAGAGCGCGCTGAGACCTACGACATCTAGCAGTCTGTTTAAAAAGGGAAGGGTCGGTGTATAAATAATACAGAGCTTGCGATTATCAGATCAAGGAAGTTGATTCTGATTGCAACTTCGAAATCCATTTTATCGACCGAATACTGTCCACAGATTAAATTTTTTCAGACTCTTGATGCAACTTACAGTGACCGGTCAAATAAATAGTTTAAACCAAAGCTAAGTCTATATGGTATGTTTGAAATGAGCTTAAGTCCAACGGAAAAAACTGCTTTGTTTTAAATATGGCTTACATTTCGATTGCGCTTTCCAGATCTATGTATTTTGTAAAATTCTTTAAAGTTTTGTAACATCAATTTTGAATATACTTAAAAAAAATCACAAACAGCCGCACTCAGAAACGTTCCTTAAATTAGCTCTAACGGGCACTTAACTAATGATCGTTAAATTTGTTAATTAATGTTTCCTCTCAGAGTTAAAAATTATGAAATAAAAAATTTAAGTATGGCCCCAGTTGCGGCCCTTCATTTTTGTGGCATCACTCACTTTTTTCGTTCAGTTTGAAATAAAATATAAAAATATGTATTTATATCATTTTGCGCGCGCTGCCTCAACAGCCGCAATGGCTGAGTGAACAGAGCACTGGCGTGCCATTCGAGAGATGCGAGTTCGAGTCCTAAGGCAGGAAAATTTTCTTTTTCCTTTTTTATTTTTTTATTTTTTTCTTAATTTTTTTTTAAGCTATCTTTATTGAATTTTTTTGGTTTTATGATATAATTTTCTTTTGATTTAGAGATTATATTGCTTTAAAAAGGAAACAAATTTTTTGCTAAAAGACAAACAAGACCAATAACAGGCCAATTCTGGCATCTGTCTTTCAACTCACCTCAGTCTTTCGAGAGACAAAAGTCTTTAGACTTCGGCAATTATCTTGAAAGCCCTTTTCTGTATTTCGAATAACTAATTGACAGATGTGCTAATAGTGTTATTATACTTATCGCTTATCAATAAGTTTTCTAAAAACTAAACGAAATGAAAAAAACAGGAAAAAATAAAAATTTGAGAAACTGAAAGTAAAAGAAAAAAGATGAATCAAAAAAGTTGTCAAACGTTAAATAAAATAAAAAATATGAATTTTCTAAGCAATAAAACTTAAAAAAAAATGTATTAAAAAAAATTCGTTGCCGAGGATTGAACTCGGATCTCTTGTATGCTCACTGGGCCATTGCTTGTTACAGCAACGTTATCGAAATTAAAATTTATTGAAAACAAACAAAGAATTTCAAAATCATTCGTTAAAAAGTTAAGTAAAGGTTATTGTTTACTTAACTTTAATGTTCATTAAATGCCGTTAACGAATCATTAACTGACTCTGAGAGGTAATTTTTTCAAATCGTTACTGAGGGCCACCTTAAGTAATCATTAAACGACTCTGAGTGCGGCTGAAAGTCGTCTTATGGTGGGTTTGGGCAGGTTGTATATATATCAAGTCATAGGGTTTTGAGCACTGACGATATCTCGATCCCCCGGATGGCTTCAAAATGGACGTTCGAAGAGGATCTGGTGTCTTCTCTCAAACGAATGAAGCGCATCCCAGACCGAGAAACATACATGCAAGCAATTGGCGGTGATGCTGGCAAGCAAGAGGTTCCCAACTCTATCAAAATTTTTCGTTCGTTGTGGATAATGAAACTGTTAAAATGGTCCTGGGCTCGGTATGCGTCCAAGGAAATCGAAGATCCCAACAATCACTTCGAAAACCTTTAGAAAATCTCTTCTGGGTCCCGTGCTAGAAGACAGGATTAGGGTAAGTGGTTCAAAGCAAACAATCGTTCTTCCGTTCCTGTTATAATGAGTTGAGGAGATATCTAGAACAGCTGCGAACAACAGCTGGACACGTAGCTTGCTAAGACTCTCAAAATCGGAATATTAACGGGACACTGGACCACTGGCTACATGACATCAAAGTTTGCAATCTCAGATAACAATTCCTTTAGAAGCAAAGACGAGGAAAAACCTACATATTTCCGGAGGAACACTTATTCTAGAACTTAGCTTAGCAAAAAAAATGATTAGAGTAGTGGACTCTCCATTAAATCCCATTCTGGACCATCACATTGGGCCACGGCCATCTTTGAGTGAACTTAACTTCGAAAAAAAAAGTTATTTCTAGTTCGAGCCTTCCGATTTTCGAGCTTAATGCAACCCCCAAAATATATATTTTTAAAAAGTGTTTAAATATTCGAACTAAATCATATTTTTTTTAAATGGTTTTCGGAATATTGGATCTTCGAATAAAGTGACATTTAAGACAGTGTTACGATTGGTAGGCTTAAATATTCTTACCCTGCGTAGAAATTGAGAAGGAATAGCAATGATTGGATTCTCAGAAATAAAATGCGCCTGTACATGTAGGCTTAACAACATGGGTATTGTAAAGATATTAAATAAAAGTAATTTTCATAAAAAAAATTTTGACAGGAATGTATGTAGGTACGTGACAGCGTGATACATATTTATCTGTCGATTTCATTTGCCTCCACTTCACTGAAGACCATTTCAATATTTATAAAATGGCAGACATTTAGTAGCTACTTTTTACTACATATTTTAGTACTTATATGTATGTATTAATTGTAATATGTATGTATGCATATGTATGTAAACATTGTGGTCATTAGGTATTTTATATGATTTGTGTATTTACTTAGAAAACGCCATTTTACACTATTTCAGTACAATACACTTCTAATTGTTTTTGTTTTGGTAAATACTATTCCTTAATATATAAATACTATGTGTATGTACAAGAAAAACTATACAAGTAATTTATAGTTAATGGAACAACATCCAGCTAACTTTAGCTTATATGTATGTATACTTCCCTTTACGCTTACCAATGTACGAGTATTTATGCATGCATTTAATATAACTTCTCAAATCATTATGAGCTCAGCTCGTTTGCGTCTATGCGACACCACAAAATAATTCCAATTTCTTATTACTCATACATTCGTTTCGATGCGATACGAGCTTGGCTCTCTGACTAGACCGCGTTTCTCCAATATTGCACTATCGGCACTAACACGCTTCATCTTTGCCGCTACCGCTAAGTTGCGCACACGCGGCTTGAGTGTATCACCTTCCGTACTGACTTGCTCGTATTTGGTCTTCTTCTTGCTGGATACATCGTGATCGCTTTCGCTTTCATCGGCATATTGTATGTCGTCTAAGCCCAGTAGGCCGTCGCTTAACTCTGGCGGCGTTTTCTTCTCCACCACAGTCTCTTTCTCCACATAGGAACCTGTCATGGACTCAGCCATGGAGTCGGTTATAGAATTGACCAATGCCTCGGGTATGACAGGTGAGCAGCGTGGTGTCGCAAGCGCCGCCTCGATATCCTCAGGCGCGGTGGGAGAAGTGCGTATATTTCGGGCAGACTTCGTGCCGCTTAATTTCTGTAAGGGTATGATGACATCGCGGACACCGCTACGCAACGATGAAGTAGATCTCGACTGCTGCTTGGCTTGTCGGCGTTGTTTGCGCGAGAAGTACGGCGTTGGCTGTTTACTGCCAGTTGTTGTGGATATGGTCTGCTGCATTAGATTATTCTTTAGATTCATTTCGGCAGTGGGGGACGTCGCTTTGGATTGCAAATGACTGCTCAAGGGGGATAGTTCACCGGATGAGGGTGTCGTATTACTGGTGGTATTAGCGCTCGATTCTGTGTTGCTACGCGCGCTCAAATAATGCCCGTAACGCGGCATTTTGATCTCCTCGTAAAGCGGTTCAGTCTCTTCGGGCTCGTGCGTGGGCTCAGGCGTTTTATCATCCTCGTCGTGCAGATCTGTTATTACCTCGAGCGGTGGCACCCAAATAAGTTGTGCGGGATCCATACCCAAGTAGGAGCCCGGTGCAGCGCCGGCGTTTATCACATTGTAGTCGTAATAGTCAAGCTCGAGCTCTTCCTGATTGCCCAGCGAAAATTCGGAACCGGGGCGTGCAAGTAACTTTTTGCGATTCTGCTTCTCTTTGCTCTCCTTGGCATTGGTGGTGCGTATGTTGGCCGTGCTGACGACACTAGCGGCGGGCGAATAGCAACCCTGAAAGAAGAAAAATAGAAAGAAAGTGGTTTAAGGAAAAGTGGTAAACTACTAGTATTAGTCGATTGTGTGACCTCTGGCAGTTCGAACTCACATTTGTCAACGATGCGCTCGCACAACGTGACACATAGTCGCGCAACGACGAACGAATTGAATCGCGATCACTGAGTGTCGTCTCTTCCAAGCGTTGCGATGGGTGGGGCATAAGCGTACCTGAAGGACCGTAGCGATTAAAGCGACCCGAGTGTACAATGGGCGGGCTAGCGCAAATCGAGCTCATGCCCGAGGAAATGATTGACTCGGTGTCCTTGCCGCTGTCCTTGCGTGTCAATGTGCCACTACAAATACCGCTCGTCTCACCTGCGGCTGTGGTCGAGCCTAAGGCCTCGTCTAGCGAAGGGGAACGGCTAAGACCACTCACCGACTCAGGGGATTGCGGAACTTCATTGCGCAAGGTAACTACAGAAGCGTTACTACCGCGCTCCTCATCGCTAAATAAAAGAAGCGAAAGTTAAGATGAGAGTTTGCACGAAATTTGGTAGATATTTCATCTAATTATTCTTCGTTTTAGTTTCAACAAAGGCAATATACATACCACTTTACCATGCGTGTCATCGTTTTTGCATCTTCTTCTTCTTCTTCCTCTTCGGGGTCATTGAATTCCGCTTCGCGTGCCAAATTTTCAGCATCGACGCTCTCCCGCAGTATGGAGTGACGTAACTGATGCTTCGGACGCATTTTCACCAAATATATGACCTCTGATAGCAGTGTTGTTGTCGAAATGGCGCGTGATGGAGGACCATGTAGGGAGCTCATGGATGCGTGTGGCGTATGCAAGCGGGAGCCCTCATCTCTGCGACGCGCTACTGCCAAATGGTATTTGCGATAACGTACAACATATTGCGCGCCTAAAAGTATGCGATGAAGAAAAGAACGGAAGAAAAATGTAAATCGCGATAAAAATACCGAATATCATTTCTTTCTGTTGCGGTAGCAGAGAAGAAACTGTATGCAGCGAGCGCCCCTTAGTGAAGAGTAAAAACAAACTTTGAAAAAGGAAAAAAGTAACAGTGAACAATGAACAAAGTTGAATTTACTAACTACCGTTTAAATCTTCAAGCATTATCCTTGAATCTTGTAAAATATTTGTAAGACCGTTGAAAATGATACGCAAAGCTAGTAATAACTGCCTAAGCCATTAAAGCGTTACCCAAATCCATGGAAACCAAATCAAGTTGTATAATAATGTGAAAATCTCATGACAGCCAGTTAATGCGCTCACCGCAGCGGCAAGAATTAAATGCGCTTTACAAAGGGGTGCAAACAGGCGTATTTACGAACCATTCACGAATTTATTGGCTATCAGCTGGCTGATAGCGAAAGCTGTGAAGTATTAAAACAAAGCCTCAAATGAAAAAAAAAACAAAATCCTGAAACTCAAGTCAGCTTGAGTTAAAGTACGCATTTTGGCACAGTGGGTAGGATTTTATACACGTGTGTATGTACATATATTGGGGTGCCCATCGAAAATGCTTTTTTTTCGAATTTTCTTCGTTTTTATGAGAAATATTATTGCCTATTTTTATAAATTTTTTAAAGGTCATTTAGAGGTCGCGACCTGTCGGTTTACGTGTGAAAATACTATTTTGTAGATTCATGAGTTTTTGAATAACTATTTTTGATGCGATTTCAAAGAGCGAATATGATCTGGGAAGAGGATATATAGGCCTTTAAAACGGTATACAACAATCTGTTGTCGGACTTGGCTTGTTGGGATTTTTTATTGGGTAAAATAAAAACAAAAAAAACATATTTGTCTTAATTTTAATTGTACATTTTGAACATCGATAATTTCCACAATTTCAAAATATGTAGTACTATCTAAAATTAAATCTTTTTTTGAATAACCTGAAAGCTCATTTATTGCAATAGCATAAAAATTGTCGAAGTTAGGCGACTTTTCTTTACAGTCTTGAATTTTGATTTTTATGTACCGGACTTTCAGATTAATTGAGCAGTTTGGTTGAGCAATTTACNATCTGTTGTCGGACTTGGCTTGTTGGGATTTTTTATTGGGTAAAATAAAAACAAAAAAAACATATTTGTCTTAATTTTAATTGTACATTTTGAACATCGATAATTTCCACAATTTCAAAATATGTAGTACTATCTAAAATTAAATCTTTTTTTGAACAACCTGAAAGCTCATTTATTGCAATAGCATAAAAATTGTCGAAGTTAGGCGACTTTTCTTTACAGTCTTGAATTTTGATTTTTATGTACCGGACTTTCAGATTAATTGAGCAGTTTGGTTGAGCAATTTACAAATATTTACTCAAAATTGATATATACAATCGGTCTTTAGCAAAGAATCGGTTTTTTACGAAACTTAGGAAAATGGGGATGGCACCGCCCACTTATATGTTATATGCGTAACTCAAAAACTACTTTACCGATTTCAACCAAATTTGGTATTCACATTGCCGATTAAAGCCCATATCGACCTATCTCAGCAGCCAGTTTGAAAATGGCCTATCTCAGAAAACTTTTCCACAACGCCCTATTTCAGCTGCCAATTCCGCACTTTTTCAATACATTCGCATTTAAAATAAGACGTTTTTGAACCGAATTCTAAGATAGGGGTTTTTCAATGAAATTCTGAAATAAGGTATCCGTCAATCAATTTCTGAAGTAGGGCGTTCTTGAATAGTTTTCTGAGATAGGGCGTTTTCGAAAGCAAACTTCATCAATTTCTTCTCTTCACTACGTATCTACACTCGCTAGCCAGACTAAGTCCAAACAGATGCTCAAAATTCGTTACTATCTTTCCCAATGCTCGGCATTAATCAGCAGTATTGTAAAGGCAACATGGATATAAAATCGTAAAAATGCATTTTTTAACCATATTTTCCCCACTTTTAAGCCACCGTTCACGGTTCATAGTTGTGTGGCTACCTATAACTATTTGCTCATCACTTAAAAATTTCGAAACCACCAGCAAATATAGGTATTTGTGTCAGTGCATTGGTGTGTCTTACTTTGTGGTCACACGGAATCCTTTTATTTCTCACCCTCTGACATTGCTCCTTTTTCCCTTAAATATATGCCATCATCATTTTAGTTGCTTTTCCCCAACGCTAAAAGCGCACTCTCTGCACCCACCTTCCTTCCTTTTTGCGGCTTTTTACGGTACTTACCCAACAGGGCGCTGATCAAGATAATGATGCTGGCAAAGACCACCGCACTCAAATGGACCAACGTAAAATTCGTACGACTAAATTTTGGCTTTTGCAAAATACTGCGATTCTTAGCCGACAATCTGCTGGTGGCTGCGGCAAACAAAGTTGTTGTGTCATTGCGCGCTGCTTGAATGAGAAAAAAATGCAAGTAAAAAAGAATGAAACGCAAATGGCAGAGAGGACAAAAAACAACGAATGAAAAGTCAGTTAGTGGTAAGGCATGCAAATAAATATGTATGTATAGTAAAGTTGTAGAAAATATGCAAAAGTCAACATCATTAGCATGAAAGCGAAAGGACACTGCAGAGAGGAGCAAACAAAAAACTGCATGAAAAGTTCATAGAAATTTGTCGCATTCGCATTGAAAATAAACTTATTTTACAGAACTAACAAAAAATTTGCCGAGAGTGAATGATAAAAGGAAATGTAAAACAAATAGTGGTTGTCACTGATGCCGGGTCGGCAAACCATGGCTTGTAAATTTTCGTAAAAAGTATGTTAAACACTTCAAAGAGGGATGTGCCCATAAGGCTTCTTTAATTTAAAGAATTGCTGAAAAGATCAAAGAAGTTTCATACCGACACACATTACGACAGGTGTGGAGTCTTAATGACATTATTGGCTAATGATCAGCGTACTTTGCTACACGGAATCAAACCTAAAAATTTTAAAGGAAACAAATACTTAGTATTTGGATCAGGGTCTGAAACGTGACAGACAGAAAGCAAACGTATCGTAATTTGTTTGAAGTTATTGTAGATTTGAAAATCAAAATAGTGTTCCAATTGATTGATTGATTTTTCCGGTTACAATAGACACCGCAGTGTAATTTTTTTTTTTTTCGAAAAATAGAAAAATTAAAGCAAAAGTTGAAAAAAGTGGTGATGTCCTCTGTATTTAACGTAAGTATGTAGTATATTTTTTTCATTTACGAATAAGTTCAGTCGCTCATACACGACTGTTATCATACCGAAATCCGAGACAAGCATACTGCTGTTATAATACGTCTGTTATAAACGGAAATAATCATTTTTACGGGTAATTTCTTCCAAAGATATTTTCAATTTAATTTACATCGTGAATAAACAAGATGCAAACTTTAACAGAAAAAAAATTAAAAATTGCATTTTTTTTTTGTAAATTGGTATTAAAGACTGTTCTTGAACAAAAAAAATTAACCTACTACTAAGAAAATCGCTTGATAAATAAAAAAAGTTGTCAACGATCAAATGAAAATGCACAATAATTTTTTTATAAAACATGAGCTGGAAAGATTGTTACTCATACGCCATGTACGTGTATGGCCATGTTAATACAACGGGTCGATTTTTAACAACATCGCTTGAATTCCGAGATCGGAAAGTGACCTTTAAGAACCCAACCCCATTACAGGCGAGAGCGTTCGCTTTGCAGGCATAAGAAGCTTCGTAGATTACCCCCGAGCCACCTTTGGCTATAAGGATTTATCCTCGTTTTCACCCAACGTATTCTGATATGAAAGTTGGTTCACATGGTCAAAAGCGAACTGCATACGTTGCTCCTTCCGCTCAATTTCAGCAATATCGGTTTGTTTTCCAACTAAATTGGAAGTCAGGTTCTGCTTGACCAATTGGCAAGCGGGCAATCACGAGCTACTGATTCTTTAATGTTAGCAACTTTTGCTTAAAAAAGGCTATAGAATTCTGTTAGTCCAAAAATTGATTTTGGTAGAGAGCTCCCGGCAGAACCATTTCGACCAACTCTTCCGCCATGTTTCGATCTATTCGCGCAAACTTTCACCGCCCGCTTCCTCTAACAGCCTAGCCCACCCAACACAATCATCACTTGAGGGAATGTGTTAAGAGGAAAAGCTGCTTGGAGACAGACACTAAAATCAATAGCCGGTCAGAATGTTCTTGTAACATATGCCGTCAGACGCCGATAGAAGGTAACGCCTTGCATTTCCATGATACGGCGCACTCAATAAAAATTAAGCAAATTTTATGTTTTTCAATAAAAAAAATTACCTAAACTATGCATACAAAAATTTTATTCGCCATTTGTAAATCGCTTAATTTTTCATTGAGAGCTTTAACTCCTTGAGCTTATTATCTGTTTTGCTCTTTAAATATTCTGCTCTTTGCTGGGGATATCCAAGTCGGTAGAGACTAGAGTGAAATAATTTTAAACGCACCTTCAGCAGCATAAATGCCCTTAATACCACCTACATACCTTTCCTCTACGCATCTGGCCCGTAAAAGTTTTTAAACAAAGTTTTTATCTTTATTGATATTGCTGCAATCATCTAAAGAAGTACGTTATTGAAATACGAGATGCAAATTTTCCAACATGAGGCTATAAATCCGCATAAATATATTTTTCCATTGCTATTTCTAAATTTCGAAGGAATGTAAATACACAAAATCGCGCACACAAAGCGCAATAAATTTGAAGTAATCTCCTATATCACCAATCTGGTAACATCACGCTGTGTGGCTGTGCGATAAACTTTGTTCAGACCAGGATGTGCGTTTGTTTTGAAAAAAAAAGTTAGTTCCGAGAGTTTGCGCTAACGCCCCAAATACTCACACAAACATATGTACATATGTATGTATATGCATTCGAAAATTTAATACACTTTATGTGAAAACACCAAAGTGAAACAAAAAAAAAAGTTAAATTAAATATACTTTTACAAGCTTACGTTATGCCTG